TTTTTATTTATCCCGGATAAACTGCCGGTTAATGGTACCTGTCTTTTACCTCATAATAGGTCATGATTTAGTAGTATTATATACTTTGCAATCTTGAGAGATATTAACTCTGTGATCATGCTCATGATAAATTATGATACTTTCTGATATGGAGTTACTATTTTAGCAGACATGGCGAAGAACTGTGGAAGGGGCATCGAGGGTGCTGATGGAGAATCATTACAACCGACACAAACGCCTGATAAACGACTCGTACTAAGTTAATGACCGTAAACGAGCGAAAGATTATTATTTTTGTTCTAGCTTTTCTGTGTGTGTTTCTTATTGTACTAAAGGACAGTAGTCAGAATTCTTTTTATGGATCCAATTCTCTACTGTTTGCTAATCACAATTTCACTGGAGAATGAATCCCTTGTACAGGCATGTTTCATTAATGCAAATGTAATTGGATACAAGCAAAGAACATAGTAAAATTCAAAATATTGTATCCCATTCTCTCAAAGTAAAAATCTCATTTCTGGGAATTTGATGTAGGGAACAGGAAATAAGAGAAGAGATTTCTCTTCTAAATCCGTAAATTCTCAATAATCAACTGACACGGAGCCCGAAACTGGGAAACGGCCCAGCCCGGCGCACCAACTGCTGTTCCACAAGCAGGGCCCTTTGGTGTGCGTCCGAAACCGAGTATAGGGAAAATAAATTCAACGTGTCTTGAATTGGTAACCGCAACCCTCCAATATACCGAGAAACGATCTGATCAGTTGTTTCACGCACATCCACCCTCGTGAGTAGACGATAAAATTCTTCCGTATATTCATTTACGGAATGCGAACCCTGCCTCAAATTTTGAAGTTTTTGATACATTGTACGCACATAATTAAACGGCAAGAACTCTCGTTCGAGATGCTTACGGAATTTACCCCATACTGTGATTTTCGGCTTGCCTTGACGATGACGCGTCCCCTTAAAAAACTGCCACCATGCGGCAGCCCGACCAAGTAGTCGTGTCGCAACGAGTGCGACCCTCCTATCGTCCTTGAACAATTGTATGAAGAGCCAAACGTATGTCTTCGATCCCTGCAGAAAGGTGTGCAATCTCGTGGCACATCGCCTCGAATTGCCGACCGAACCCCTCGACTCGGCGATTCAGAGCGTCGATGGCGGCATCGCGCCTGTCGTCTACAATTTCGTTTCTTCCAAGTGGCATCTTGAATCGTCCAGATCTCTTAATACCAACGGATAAAAGAAGAGATTTCTCTTATGAATACGTAAACAACTGACTAGAACAAAAGAGGACTCTTTAAAAATGACTCCTTAAACCCTAAACTCCTAGATTGTCCAACAATACAAGGACTTGACTTAATAACAAATTACCAAATAAATTAATGCTAATAATAATAAATATAAGAGTAATAAGATACTACTTAAACCAACTATAAAGTAAGCTACACATCTGCTACAAATAAATAAGAATTGAGGAGGATAACTAAATTGTTTTCATGCTCATTCTCCAACCTTGAAATCTTCATGATTCAATCTGACATTACAAACTCATATTCAATTACATTACATCACTAAGAACAAAGCCAGCAGCACTTCTTTCACACCAAAACTTATATCATAATAGCATAAAAACCAATCTCTTCTACAAATTAATATAAATGGGAAACACATGATATTAAAGAAAAAAAAAA